GGGGGGCGGAGGGTCCACGGGAATTATAATCGAATCAAGAATCACCTGCAGGTGCAGGTAAAGGAGCGAATGACCTTATGGAAATCGGGAATCGGTCAGCACCGGCGAGCAACACCGAGCAAAATTTCATAATAGGAAAGGTAAAAGGTAAATTGTGTGTGTGTGTGTGTGTGTGTGAGCATTTTTGTGACCATGAGTATTATACCTATACCTATATATATATTATATGGGTTGATGCAAGTGCGAGAGAGGAGCAACAACAACAGATCGGCGTGGAAAAGTAAAACCTGCACGTAGGATCGGTAAGTATAGGTACAGTGTGCATGCGTGCGAAGAGTAAGTACAACCTATTATTTTTATTTATAAATATGCTTATAGTGAAACATAAGAAATGAAAAGGTGCTATACTTACTTATAGCTGATGGAGAGTAGAGCGAAGGCTCGGGGGGGGGGGGGAAAGAAAAAAAAAAAAAAAAAAAAAAGAGCAAAAGAGAGAAGGGGAGACCTTCTCCTTTGCGCTCCGCGGACGCACGCACACCATCCGTGCATATATATATATTATGTACACTTACATCGGTAAGTGGCGTGCCGTTTCGTTATTCAGGTTTATCGTTTAGTCGGCTATTGGCTTTCGTTCTATTCGGCCCCTGCTCGACGCACGGGAGCTCATGTAGTGCACTTTTGTTTTTTGTTTATTTATTTATTTATTTTTTTTTTTTCCCCAACACATTTTGAGTTGTAGAAAAATACCGAATATCACGTGTGCACGTATAAATCTGAGTTCGCGAGAGCGCGCGCTTTTGTTCTCCGATACTTACTTGTGCGCGCTACTACAAAAGATTATATTGTCTTCAAAAGGTTTGTCTCACTTTTTTTTCTTTTTTAATGTTTTGGAAAATAACATTAGAATTGGCACGAGTGTTGAATTTTTTTTTTTTTTTTTTTTTCCAAGTTCGCGAACGACATGTACGTACTTCAGAACCGCGGGAATCGCGGCGTTTATTTAAAAGTACATTTTACCCATTCTAAATGAGAAAAAAGAAAGAAAAAGATATTTCTCTTAACGACTTATTACACAAAAACAAATATGTCGCGTGCGCAAGTATAAGCGTATAGCTTTCCATACGTAATCCACCGCGGATATAACGTAAGTATATTTTGGTCCGATAAAGCGCCCGCGAAACGATAGCAATGACATTCAAAACGCTTATCTAATTAAAAACAGAGATGAAATGCATGTGTATACATGTGTTCACATATTTGTCTACACGTACATATATATCAGATACAGATCACAATACAATAAGCTTGGCTTTATCGTCAAATGCATGTAATATATCATGTGCGTACAATGATATTGTAACGTTTGCGCGTATGTGTGGTACACCGGAGAGAGGCAAGTAAGTATATATCATGTACGCATATGTAATTACAAAAGGTGTTTTATCGAGAGCCGATCGAAAAAAATCGGCGTCTTCAACGTCAAGTATATACCGTTATTGATTGTGACATATATGTATATCCTGTAGGCGCTTTTCACTTGAAAAAAAAAAAAACTGGCGCAACAATATTATATATATATTACTCGCACTTTGATATTCTGCATACCTCTGTTATATACACATATACAATTTTACTCTTGATCCGTGCAGCCGCAAAATCGAAGGATAAGAGAAAAGTAGGCTGGTTGCACCGGACACAGCCGCCACCGCCGCAGTCGAGAGTTTGCAAGACCGGCGTGAAAGGGAAAAAAGACGAAGAGGAAGAAAAGAAAAAGAAAAAGAAAA